GAGAGAGGCATTTGCCACATGTTCCTCCTGGGCTCAACACATTCCAGATTCTCAGCTGTGTCACCTGGACCCCTGGATATTGGAGAACATGTTCCAGAAACTTCTGTTCCAATCTGGGTGGTCTTTACATCATATCCAGTCACATCTCCCATGAGACCTCAGGCCTTCTGGGGACACTCGGGTTTCTGGAGGAGCTTCCTCTGGGCCTCAGGGGACCAACACGTGCCCCCTCATACTCAGTTTTCTGCATGCTAACAGGGGCTGCCTTCTTCACTGTTCCTCGGGACCTGAGAGGCTCCCTGGACATGGCCATGGAAGTCAGCCCCAGCAACCGGGACAGCCCAGCCAAGGATGGAACGTACCACTTCCACCCTCACGGCCTGCCCTCCCAAACCGGGAGCTTGTGCCCTAAAAATTCTCAGCTCCCATTCACTCAGGGGAGAGGGTGTCGGCCCAGGCAGGGTGGGAGCAATTCCAACCACCAAAGGTCCCCTCTCTGGATCTGTTTCTTCGTTAACTTTGGGGTGAGATCACGGCGTTGTTGTGAAGTGAAGCAGCCGAGTTGCAGTTAACTTGTTTGAGCTTCAACTTCTCTGTCTATAAAATGGGGGTGCCTGCCCAGCAGAGCCGGGCTAGAGCATTGGTGCTATTATGGCTGATTTTGCTGTGACTATATTCTACAGTAGCCAAGATTCTAATTCAAGGCCTTTGCTGCCCCCACCAGATCTTCTGACCTGAGTCCTGGGAAACAGACACATTCAAATCCCCAGCCCAGAGTGAATGAGGAGGGAGGAGGCTTGGCAAGCTCCTCCTTCAGGATTAAGACTGCCCCCTGCTGTAGGGAGCTAGCCCTGAGGGTACCCATAGGTTTGTAGCTAATACTTGCTGTGTTCTACTTTACATACTAACATTTAATCCTTCTAACAACCATATGATGTAAGCACTATTATCATCCCCATTTTACTGAGAAGAAATTGGAGCCCTGAGACAGTAAGCAATTTGCCCAAGGTCACACAGCAAGTTAGTGAGAGCTGGGACTTGAATCCAAGTAGTCTGCTCTCAGCTCACTTTGCTGCTCTGCTGAGCTTCTTAAACTTCATGCCTGTGGCTTGTGTGAACCCATCGTTGGCCTCCATACAAGGAAGAGGGATGTGGCCTTGCTTTGGGGGCAGTGGGAGAAGACAGCTGGGAAGCTGAATTGTCCTTCACAGTCAGGTCTGTCTGGGTCAGGCTCTCAGGACAGAGAAGGTGCTGGCAGCTGCTGAGGGTGCAGGACAGGGTACAGGGCTAGGAACAGAGGCGGGCTGGGGCCAGGGCCTGAAGCCAGAGGAGGGAGGACCAGAGAGAGGTCTGGCTGAGTCCCAGGTATCCCACAAAGTCTAGGATCCCTCAGCTTTGAACCTGTGGGCCCAAATCATGCTCCCTCTTTGTGCTTGGGCTCAAGCACTCAGAGCGCAGTGGAAATCACTCCTCAGAGGAATCTAGGAAGGCCTCTTAGGACAGGGTCCAAGGTCCTACTCAGGGGCCTGCTCAGCCAGGCATGATGCCCACAGTGGGTTCCTAGAAGAAGCCCTCCCTGCTGACCCTGGCTGGGTGCTGGGCTCAGGGAAAGCAAGCCCTTCCCTTGCCTGGATCCCTCAGAGGCTCTGACTCGGGTCCCAAAGAATACATGACAACGGGGACAGCTGAGCTGCTTCCAGGCCCAGAACTGCAGGCAGGACAGTGTCCGCCCCGCACCCCGCCCCCTCCCCAGGTGGGCACTGAGGGAGTGTAAAGTTTCCAGCAGCTGAGTTTCCAGCAGCTCCTCCCTTGTTCAACACATGCCCTCCACCCCTTAGTTCTGCTCCTCAACGTCCTCCTCAAGGTCTTGGGCTGGGGCAGCCTATGCTGCTGTCCCAGACACAGGAACTTGCCAGACCTGCAAGAGTTAGACTGTCTCTGGACTCAGGAACAACCGCTGGGGTTGGGAACATGGGCTCTAGGCTCTGCCACGTCCTCCACTGCTGACAAGCCCTTAGATGTCAGTGTTTCCCTGTTTAGTCCTCAGAACCTCCTCAACTCCACCCAGGCTCCTGATCTTCTTCACTCCTGGCTCTTGGTGACCCCACTGCCAACTAGTCCCAAACACACACTCTGCAGACCAGAGTCCTCCCGGGTGCACCCAGCTGTCCCCAGACTTCTCCCCCTGGAAATTGCATGTCAGGCATTGAATCCTTGTTCCCGCAAAGCCTGCCCCTCCTCAGGGTGCCCAGCCCCCCACCCAGAAACCAGGGCAACCTCGTTGCCTCCCTTCTACTTCCCACGGCCAGCAGCCAGCAAGCCCACCAACCCTGCCTCCCTCGTGTCTCTGGAATCTCTCTGTTCCCTGCCTCAGCTTAGGCAGGTCTTATCACCTCTCTCTGGGTGTCTCCCCTCCAACCCATTGGCACAGCATCCAGAATGACTTTTCTATCATGATTACCTCACTCCCTGGCCAAAAACATCCACAGATGAGCCTCAGATGCTCTCATGTTGAAGTGCAAGCTATCTTGGCATGATGGCCCTAGCTGATCTGGTCCACCCTTCAACTTCACCACTGCCGAGGGCATCCCTTGACCCTCCACTGCAGCCCCCCTTGACCTCCTGCCTTTTTCTCAAGCTCCTCCCTGTATCAGTCCTGCCCTCACCCTCCTTCTCTGCTGGCTCTTTCCTCAGAGGCTAACATTGCATTCAGTGAGCATGTGTGGGGTGGCCGCCTGGTTCCTGATGACTTCCCCTTGTCTGGGAATGACCTGAAACCAACAGGCAGCCTCCCCAGATCACATTTGCACTATAGAAGCCTGCTATTGGTCACAGTGGGTTGGACCAGTGGTGGATATTTGACCCAAACTGGGCTGATGAGACTCTGTCACCGGAGTATTTGAAACTTGCCATCGAGAACTCAGGAGTCCCATGCATGGAGTGTCATTAACGCCCACAAGTGACAGAGCACAAAAGGTACCATTCCTGTCCTCAGGCTGCTAGAGCCACCTGTTTCCTGCCCTCCTGAGTCAGCTGTCCCTTCAATTCTCCTCCCATTGCTTGCAACTGAAAAGAAGCTTAACTTTGTCCCTTCTTAAAACTGCCTCCCTTGCTTGGATTATTTGGTTTTTTGGTGTTGAGTTGTAGTTCTTTATATATTTTGGATGCCAACCCTGTATCAGATATGTCATTTGCAAATCTCTCCTCCCACTCAGGTGTCTTTTAGTTTTGCACAAGACATGAACAGACATTCGTCCGTAGAAGACCGACAGAGGGCCAATAGACACATGAAAAGATGCTCAACACCACTCATCATCAGGGAAATGCAAGTCAAAACCACAATGAGATGCCACCTCACACCTGTCAGAATGGCTAAAATAAAAAACACAGGGACATCTGGATGGCTCAGTTGGTTAAGTGTCCGACTTCAGCTCATGATCTCACAGTTCGTGAGTTTGAGCCCCACATTGGGCTCGCTGTTGTCAGTGCAGAGCCTGCTTCAGATCCTCTGCCTCTCTCTCTCTCAAAATAAATTTTAAAAATTAAAAAATAAAATCAGGGCCCCTGGGTGACTCAATCAGTTAAGTGTCCGACTTTGGCTCAGGTCGTGATCTCGTGGTCCGTGAGTTCGAGCCCCGTGTGGGGCTCTGTGCTGACAGCTCAGAGCCTGGAGCCTGCTTCAGATTCTGTGTCTCCCTCTCTCTCTGCCTCTCCCCCACTCGTGCTCTCTCTCATTCTCTCTCTCAAAGAAGGAATAAACATTAAAAAATATAAAATAAAATAACAAAACAAAAAAACGCAAGAAACAAGTGTTGGCAAGGATATGGAGAAAAAGGATACGTGATATGGTGCAGCCACTATGGAGATTCCTCAAAAAGTTACAAATAGAATTACCCTATGGTCCAGTAATTCCACTCCTGACTATTTACCCAAAGAATTTGAAAGAAGGTGTGCATCCCTATGTTTATTGCAGCATTATTTACAGTAGCCAAATCATGGAAGCAGCCCAAGTGTCCATCAATAGATGAATGGATAAGAAGATGGTATATACACACAAGGGAATATTACTCAGCCATCAAAAAGAATGAAATATTGCCATCTGCAATGACATGGATGGAGGTAGAGAGTATAATGCCAAGTGACATAAGTCACAGAAAGACAGATAGCATGTGCTTTCACTCATATGTGGAATTTAAGAGAAAAATGAACAAAGGGGGAAAAAAAGGAAACCCAGAAACAGACTTTTAACTACAGAGAACAAACAGATGGTTGCCAGAGGGGAGGTGGGTGGGGAGTGTGTGAAATAGGGGACGGGGATTAGGGTACAACTATCAGTACATGAACACTGACTAATGCATGGAACTGTTGAATCACACACAAACAAAACAAAAAAACACAAAGCTGCCTCCCTTGTCCCAATCCCCCCAGCAGCAAGGATGATCCGGCCCTCCTCCTCTTCATCCATTCTTGACCAAGTCTTCCACGGTCGCCTCACTCCCTCACCTTTCATCTACTCATTCCTCAGCCTGCAGTAATTAAACAAACTTGACCAATACTTATTTAGCATTCTTGCCATGTGCAAGAATGAGAACACAGAATGAGGCACAGCCTGTGTCTTCAGAGAGGTGACAGTCTAACTGTGGGGACGGGCACGGTAAGGGGTAGGTGCAAATTGCAATACAGATCAAAATAAACCGTGGCAAAAAGAATAATAAATAAAAAAGATAAAATAAAATAAAAATAAAATAAAATAAAATATAAAATAAAATAATATAAATCATGGCAAGAGAATAGTAGAGAAACTCACGGGGTGTTATGAGACGGAGGGGCTCACAAAAGGCGTCCCCTGGAGGAGGGGACATCCGAGCAGTTCTATCCAGCTATGAGAAGGAATGCTTTTATGCACAGGTTCCAACTCAGGAAAACTGAGGAGCAGGGACTCCTTTTTACTTTTGTTTAAAATGAAAATAGATTTATTAATACCCGTGGAAAGTGTAATATACTGTAACCGTTTAGATGACTCACTTTATTGATAGGGAAAATTTTCAACAAGAAAGTTGGCACACTGCTTGGCACCTGCTAAAATGTTCTCATCGGGCTCATTTGAAATGCTGGCAGGTAGACGGGCGACAGGGAGTCGATGGACCAGGGACTTTCATCACAGTCACAGAGGATTGACAAGAACAGAAGGGCAGCATAGGCCGGGGAGAGAGTGTGACCAAAAAGTGCATGGAGAAACACCATGTAGGAGAGAAGGAAAAACAAATAATTACTTTAGTAGGGAGTGGTGTCGGGAAAGGCAAGAAAGGGAACCAAGAGGCGGACAGAGGCCTTATTTCCCTAGCCCGGCCCTTGGTAGCTGTCCTGAGAACAGCAGGGAGTCATCGAGGGTGATTGAGCAAGAGAAAGTTTGTCACTCGAGCAGCAGCAGTGTCCGGGAAGGGAGGACTGCTCTACCCCTGGTGAGCCCTTACGCCCTAGACACCTCCGTCCCTGAGGCTCGCGGTCCCCTTGTAGTATCCACTATCCTTCAGCTGTCAGGTATGGGTGGGGGGTGACCACAGATGGGGGCTCAGAAGGAAAAGTGGTCCCTGCCGCCCTCTGTCCCCAGCCCGCCGGCCCCAGGCTGAATGTAATTGTCCTCGATGAAGCCATCGTCATCTTCTTCCCCCACCTCCGGACAGACACCCTTCCCGGTCCCGGGCAGCGGGCGGTGCTGGTAGCTGGCACGGTATTTGCGGCAGAGGTGGCACTTGGCAGCAAGCGCGATGAGGAGAGAGAGGACCACAGCCCCCAGCACGACGCCCACCAGCACAGGCCATGCCCGGGCCCCGGTGCCCAGCCCAGGGGAGATGGCTGATGCCATGGAGAGCTCTGAGGGCCCCACAGTGGCTGCAGAGAAAGGGACAGCATTATGCATGGGGCCCCAGATGGGTTCCCTGGGGAGACCGAAAGGTGTGGGGACAGGGTCCTTCTCCCCACCCCCTCCCCAGCCCCCTTCCCATTCACTCACTTTGGTTTGCCTCACTCATGAAGGGGCCTGGAGACACCGGTGAGCCTCAGCCTCTGCCAGAAGAGCCGTAGCTCCAAGGAGACCCCCCAGATGCCAGGCAGCCCTGGAGCACAGAGTCCTAGAACATATACACCACGTGCAGGTGTCGTGGGAGGCCACAGGTACACATTCCAGGGCAGACTCACAGCCATGTCAGGGCGCTGCACCGACTCTGGGCACTGGACAATTAACCATAACCGATTGTGCACGCAAGAGAAGCTGAGCACCTGGAAATTGGCTATTTGTAAGGGAAGACTGTAGGGTCCAGGTCAGAAAGCAGCTGAAACAAATAAATCAATGCTGGAACTTGCTAAGCACTACGTATGATTCAGGCACCGGGCGGGATGTCCTCACAGAACATTATCCTCTCTCTGTAGATGAGGACTCGGAGGCCCAGAGGGGTGAACCAACTCGGACAAAAGTCCCGGGACTTGAACCCAGGTCTCTGACACCGGGGCCCAGAGCCCAATCTGCTACACTGCCTGATAGGCTGAGGTTGGGAAGATGGGACAGAGGCAGTTCTGGCTCCCAGGGGTCAGACAACAGCAACGGCTGAGAGCTAATGAACAGAAGTAGAGACCACACGTGGAGGACGGTGCCTGTCCCTACCCAGGCAGGGGGCCCCTCTCCTCCTCAGGCAGGAGCCCCTGCCACCCCACCTTGACCCTCAGCTCTTCAGACACATCCCTTGTCCATCCACCTCTGCCCAGAGGGAAGCAGTTTCAGCGAGGAGCCAAATGCAGATCATCTGGATCAGGAAATTACCTAGGTAAGAACCACTAGGGCTAGGGAGGAGAACCTGAATTAAGGGAGTATCTGGAAGAAGACCATCTAGGCATGGGAATACCTGTAGGAGGAGCAGCTGAGTCAGAGGAATGTCTGGAGGAGCAACACCCGAATCTGAGGAGTACTTGGGGAAGTACCTGTCAGAGGAACAGCTGGGACTGGAGATTATTGCAGGTGGACCACCTCAATCAGAGGAGTACCTGGGGAGGAGGATCCAGGCTAGGAAAGCACCTAGGAGAGAAGCATCTGGTTTAGGGGAGTACCTGCCATATGTTCTTTAATACTGATATCTTAATGATCCCCTCCCTCCTCACCTGCAACCTGTCACCAAGCCCCATCAGTTCTTCCTGGAACTAAGTATCTCCGGAATGGCTCTGTCCCTCCTCTGCACCCAGCCACTGCCCCAGTCCAAGCCACCTTCATCTTGTACCTTGACTCTTACAATGTCCCCCCGCCATCCTGTCTTTCCCCACCTCTAGTCCACTCCCCAGAGTGGTGGACCTAAAGCCCAAATCTGATCCCATCACTCTCCTGCTTAAAAATCCTTCCAGAGCTCCCCAGGCCCTCGGGGCTATACGCAGATTCTTTGGCATGTTCTTCAAGGCTCCACAATCTAGCACACGGCCCTGCAGCCGATCTTGTCTTCTCCACAGTCCCCACCACCCCCCCACCATGCTCCACCCACACACACCTCCCACCTCACCCACTCTCTTGTTTCCCAGACACCCCTCCTCGGTATTTTGAGGTCCCCATCCCCCAAGGCCAAATCAAACCACACCTGCCTATGAGATTGTCCCTTGACCCCTCGGATGACCCCTCCACTGGCCTACCCAGTCAACCACCCATCAGGATTGGCCAGTTACTGGATGGGCAGCTGCCTGGGGGCAAGGACCGAGCCGATTAAAATGTGCCCGGGCTCTGGCAGACAGCTTGGTGTTCAGCAGCTCAGTCTGGGTGAGAGGTGAGTATGGGCGAGCTGGAGAGTGAAGCAGGTATTAGGAGAGCTAAGGCCGCCTGGGTAACTGTCGGCTAAACATCCAACTCTTGATTTCAGTTCAGGTCATAATCTCTCAACAAGCTCCGCGCTGACAGTGCAGAGGCTGCTTGGGATTCTCTTTCTCCCTCTCTCTCCCCTCTCTCTCTTCCTCCCCCACCCTCAAAATAAATAAATAAACTTTTTTTTTTTTTGTAAAGAAAGGAGAGCTAAAGCACTCATTCACTCATTGGATGCCTACTCTGGGCCCCACGCTAGGCACTGGATCCCCCCAAAATAAGATTTTGTTAACTGGAAGTGAATTGTATTCCCTTTGAGGTCTGTAAGGTTTAACCCTACTCCTCCTCCTGCCTGCTCTGTCCCTGTGAATTCTTCTCAAGGACACGGGCTGTCACCCTACCCCCACGTCTCTTCCACCGACAAACACACACCCTCTGATCTCACAGATACACACACCCCACTCTGATTTTGTGGTTCCTTTTCTGCTCCCAGGAGCCCTCAGGAATCTGTGGGATCCCCCTCCCAGACCCCCAAGGTCTTCCCCTTCTGCTCCCCACCTGTAGGAACTGTGCACAGTCCTTGGATGAAGCTTCCGGCTGGGGCGGGCAGAACCAGAACAGGTGGGTGGGCCAAAGCCACCACCTGACTCACCTGGGGACGCAGCCGGCAGGCGGGGCTGAATCCGCAGGGAGGGCGGAGGGCTGGGCTGCAGGCAACGCCTCCAATCAGGACGACTAATTACACTTCACCCCAAGCTTTTGCAGTGAACCTTCTGGCGCACGCCCCACCCGCACCCCCGGCGCCGGGTGCAGAAAGTGGGGGGAGGGGAGGGGTGTTGGTGCAGCTGGGATCCAGAGAGGGGTCCTGCGGGCCCTAGAACGGGCGAGCAGACACCTCAGCAGGCAACTGCCCAGGCTGACGGCCCTGATAAGCTAGTGAATTTCCCGTGACGGGTACAAAGTCCAGAGTTGGAAGAGGAAGATTTGCAGGCCTGGGAAGCTGTGGGCCGGAAGTGGAGGGGAGGAGGTGGGAATTTTTCCCTGGCAAAGCCGCGGGGACCAAGGACGCTCAAAGTTGCCTGCAAAAATGTGTGTGAGCCTGTGCAGGAGTTGAGGGGAGGATGGGGGAGGGGGCGGATACAGGGGTGTGGAGGTAAATGGGGAGTGTATCTGTGCCCTTGGGGAGTTATTGTGTGCGAGAGTGTTTACCGGGATGGAGCCGTCCAGCCTTCATCTGGATCTCAGAGGATACTGGGAGTTCAGAGAGCCCCTCTGAAGAGAGGCTCTCTGAACCTCTCCCTTTTTACTCCTCCTCCCCAGGCCTAGTGCCTCCTTGTCATTTAAGACCGAGCTCAATGGGGCGCCTGGGTGGCTCAGTCGGTTAAGTGTTGGACTTCAGCTCAGGTCATGATCTCATTGTTCTGTGGGTTCGAGCGCCCCCCGCCCCACGTCGGGGCTCTGCGCTGACAGCTGGGAGCCTGCTTCAGATTCTGTGTCGCCTTCTCTCTCTGCCCCTCCCCAGCTCGTGTTCTGTCTCTCTCTCAAAAATAAACACTTATAAAAATAAAAATAAATAAATAAACCCAGCTCAAGAGTCACCTTCGGTGAGCTCCCAGTCCTCCCAGACTAGCACCGCCTTCCCCCCCCCCCCCCCCCCCCCCCCCCCCCCCCCCTTGTCCTGAGCACCCCCTGTGCTGCCTCTTCTTTTTGTGGAGTGAAAGTGGAGCCAGGTTTTGACATCTCTGGGTTCCCTGCACCTGGCACAGGGCAGTTCTCAGTAAATATTTAAAGGAGAAAGTGTTATGAGGACGAGTTAAACCATGCAGGCACAAGAATTCACAGGGACCCACAGGGCACAGCCAGAGCAAGGGCTACAGTCAGGGGTTTGCAAGTGCAGCATGGTAGAACGGAGCCTGGAAGGTGAAGGTCAGTTCATGCAGGACCTTGAATATCTTAGCACGGAGTTGAAGTCCTACTGCCCTTGGCCCCTTCCGAACTCTCCCGTCTTGTCTGTTCCCTACCCAGCTCCAGTCCGAACTGTTCTCTTTTCCTAGGACCCACCGTGCCCCCAACCTCCCTAGGAACCAGTAACACGGGGTCGGTCTGTGTCTGTCCTGTTCCTCTCCACATCCCCAATGTCTAAAAGGGCAGTAATGCTTCTGAAGTGAATGAATGAGAGGAAAGTGATTATTACCCCGGATGGGACAGTGAGGGGCCAAGGAAGGTTTGGGCTCTCGCTTTGATTTTGAATCCAAGAAATCCTAGGATCCAAAAGATAATCATTGAACACCTACCAGTCCCCACCTGGGACCGACCGACCAGTCCCACTGCTGGTTCTTTTTTATTTATTTATTTAAATTTTTTTTAATGTTTATTTTTGAGAGAGAGAGATCGACAGAGCACCAGCAGGGGAGGAGCAGAGAGAGAGGGAGACACAGAATCTGAAACAGGCTCCAGGCTCTGAGCTGTCAGCACAGAGTCCCAACTCGGGCCTCAAACTCGCAAACTGTGAGATCATGACCTGAGCCGAAGTCGGTCCCTCGACTGACTGAGCCACCCGGGCGCCCCGCCCTTGGTTCTTTTTTAAATTGAGGTATTCGTGTAACATAACCCAATTCCCATGAAAAGCATTCACCATTTTAGTCATTTTCAGGGCACACTTCAGTGGCATTTAGTACATTCAGAATGTTGCGGAAGCACAGCTATCTAGTTGTAAAACACTCTCATCACACCAGAACGGCACCCCATTAAGTAGTCACTCCTCATTCTCCCATCCCACCAGCCTGCAGCAGCCACTAATCTGTTTTCTGTCTCTGTGGAGTTGCCTGTTCTGGGTATTCCCACAAATCCCACTTGTGCCAGATTTTTAACAAACTATTTCATTTAAACCTCATAGCTGTGCTATGAGTTAGATGTTAATTATCCCTTTAACAGATGATGAAAATAAGGCTCTGAGAAGGTAATTTGCGTGAAGCCCTACAGAAGGAGACAGCGTCTGCACATCCATCAGTCATGTAGTCAGTGAATATTTATTGAACACCCATCACAGAGCCACAACCAGCCCATACAGCACACGTTGCAAAATAGCAGAAGGCAACTTGCTGGATGCCCCCAGTGCATGGAGAGCAGAGAACAGGCCAGATGTCAGCGCCCGCTCCCCAGCCGGGAGCTCTGATGCAGTGAACAACCTTTACAACCTTCCATGGCATCCCTGGCAACCATGTGGTAGGCTCAGTGCTAGCACTGAGGACGAAGTTCCCACCACCATACAGCTTTCATTCTGGTTGGGAAGACAGACAATACCCACATAAAGAAATAAATTAATTCAGATAGTGGTGAGTGCTGTGAAAAGTAAAATAGCTTAGGGGCACCTGAGTGGCTCAGTCAGTTAAGCATCCGACTTCGGCTCAGGTCATGATCTCACAGTTTGTGGGTTCGAGCCCGGTGTCAGTCTCTGTGCCCACAGCTCAGAGCCTGGAGCCTGTTTCAGATTCTGGGTCTCCCTCTTTCTCAGCCCCTCCCCTGCTCGCACTCTGTCTCTCTCTCTCTGTCTCAAAAATAAATAAACATTAAAACAAAACAAGTCAAATAGCTTCATGTGATAGGGAGCTGTAGAGGTGACTGCTACTGCACAGTAGACAGTCAGGAAAAGAGGGGACTCACTGAAGAGGGAATGTTCGAGCTGAGATCGAAGAGTGAGATGGCAATCATGCCAATATCTGGGGGAAGAGCGTTCCAGAAAGAGGGAAGAGCCAGAACAAAGCCCAAGAGGTGGGAGCCTGGCTGGCTTATTCAAGCAACAGAACAGAGGCCAGCTGGAGGGAGTGCAGTCAGTGGGGAGGGACAGAAGGAGCTGCCTGAGGGGCGTGTGGGGCCAGCTCACGCGGGGCCCCATCCTTCCCTCTCTGGGTGAGAGTGGCTGACTTCTTTCACTCTACGTGAAGGAGGGACTAGAGGAGGGCAGGGTAGCAGCAGGGAGACCGGCTGGGAGGTTATTTCTATCAAGCAGGAGAGAGGCAATGTGGCATCAGAGTAGCCGGTAGAAGCGGGGAGGGTCTCCTGGGTGGCTCAGTCGGTCAAGCGTCTGACTTCAGCTCAGGTGATGGTCTCGCGGTTCATGGGTTTGAGCCCTGCCTCCTGCTCTGTATTGACAGCTCAGAGCCTGGAGCCTGCTTCGGGTTCTGTGTCTCCCTCTTCTCTCTCTGCCTCTCCCCCATTCATTCTCTCTCGCTCTCTCTCTCTCTCTCTCTCTCTCACACACACACCCACACACCCACACACACACACAAACATTAAAATAATTTTTTAAATAAAAGAAATGAGAAGTGCTCAGACTCTAGACATATTCTGAAGTTGACATGATTCTTCTGACTGGATGTGAGGTTTGAGGGGTAAAAAAAAAAAAAAGGGAATGAGGAATCGCTCCAAAGTTTTGACCTGAGCAACTAGTAGGAGGATGGAGTTGTCATCGACTGAAATGAGGAGACTCTGGAAGGAGCAGGTTTGGGAGGGCGGTCAGGACCTCAGTGGTGGACGTGTTTGTTGTGAGACGCCCATGACACATCCAGGTCGTGTCCTAGGTAGGCGGTACCACAAACTATCCTGAACTCAGCAGGAAGGTAAGGTCTGGACATACATATTTCAGAGCCAGCAAAATGTGGATGATTTTTAAAGTCAGTCGTCTAGATGAGATCCCCAAAGGGAAGTGTGGAAAGAGAAGAGGGCCAAGGGCTGAGCCTTGGAGCATGCAGGGAACAGAGGTCAAAGAGGGGAGCAGAAGCAAGGAAGGAGGATAGGAGTGGCCAGCATGGTAGGAGGCAGACATGGGGGGCGGGGGGGGGCGGTCCTGGGAAACCGGAGAAGAAAGCATTTCAAGGGCAGGAGCTTGGTTGGCTACGGCAGATGCTGATGATAGGCCAGTTAATCTATGGACTGAGAGCTGACTTTGAAATTGGTCATGTGGCAGTCACTGGCCACCTTGACAAGAGCAATTTCACAGCATGGTGGGGACAAATGCCCAGCTGGGCATGACGTGTGATGTTTGAGCGATGCATGAGTGTGGGAGCAGACGAAGACAAGACAACTCCTTCAAGGAATCTTGCTATAAAAGGAGCAGAGAAGTGGGGCAGACTCTGGAGAAAGGTGTGGGATCCAGGGAGGACTTTTTTTTTTAAGGCTAGGGGCTTTTAGACCATATGTGTATGCTGATAGGAATAATCCAGGAGAGAGAGGAAATTGATGACACAGAGAGAAGGGACAATGGGAGTGAGAGTCCTTAAGGCATCAAAGGGTGTGGGGTCAAGTGTACAGGTGGAGGGTTGGGGTTGGACAGGAGCAGGGAGAGTCTCTGTGACGAAGTGAAGTGTACTGGTGAAATGATGGGAGCCTTAGGGAGTTTCCTTCTGATGGCTTCTGTTTTTCCAGAGAAACAGGAAGCAATGTCATCAGCTCAGAGTGAAGAGCGCGGGTGGCGGTGCTGGTTCTGGGGTTTGAGAAGGTGTTAATTCGTCATCCTGGGGCTCAGGACAGAGAATTGGTCTGGCCAGGATTGGGGATTTGCCTGGCAAAACTGATAAAGTCAGAGAGGGGCAAGGGAGCCGAGCCGTAGGCAAGGGAGTGGTTGCCATGATGGCCCGTGCAATCCGGGCAGGGTAAAGAGGGAAGTGAGGACCAGGCACGGGAGGTGTGAGGAGCCCTGGAAAAGTGGGAGGACAGATGGATTTTAGGAGCAATTGCTGCTGTGCCAGAGAGAGTGGGTTGAAAAAATAAGATGCGACCAGCATGTGGCACATGGAAGTGAGGGCTGCCCAGCGGATGCGGGTCTTAATACAGATACACCCTAGGATGTGAACCATGGAGTGATCCTCGGGGTGGGGGGGGTGGGCACAGACCACTGGTGGTTTCACTGTTCCCTGAAGCATGTTAACTCAACCTGCTAGGCAGAGGTCTATAATAACATGCTAATAGCTCTATTAGTAAATGGAAGAGACAGGCTTCGAACCCAGGTCTTCGGGCTCCAAGTCCAGCACCTTTCCAGTTATACCCCAACTAGATCCCTCTGTTCCTGTGAGTGCAACTTACCATCAAGGGGTCATTTGTAGTGACAGACAACCATCATTTCAAAGATTTGATTGTATCTCCCAAAGGGAACTGAGGGTGCTGCTAATAGAACAGGGAACAGATGCTGAGCAAGCAAAGAATAAGGTGTCCTGCTCCCCACCTGAACCCACTCCCTTGTGTATCTGACCCAGCCCCTCCCTGGGGCAGACCCAGGGGTCTTCGCCTTGGGGTAGTTGCGGTCCCTCTTCAAGAAGCTGATGAGAGCAGGAAAGTGCTCGCAGTCACAAATGTGCTTACAGGTCTGCATGTAGTAGGTGTTCCATAAAAGCTTGGCAGAGGGCACCAGGATGGCTCCGTGTGCTAAGCATCTGACTCTTGATCTCAGCTCACGTCTTGATCTCAGGGTTTGAGCCCAGCCTTGAGAAGCCGACTTAAAAAAAGAAAAGAAAACAAAAACTTGTCAGGTGGATGAATAGCTGGAATTCCTGGGGGGCTCACCGGGCCTTTCCAGGTTAAGAATTGGTGTTAACCCTTCGTCCTCTGTATGCAGGAACCTGTTCTATTGTGAACAGATGGCCCCTTTAAATAGGTAGAGGACCCCTTCTTCTTGCAAGCCCCTGGAGGTGGAGTCAGCACCTCCTTAGGACCACCCTCCATTCAACCTCCACCTTTCCTGAGGCTGACCTCCTGGACATGGCCCAGCGTTCAGAGCATCCCTGAAGTAGTCCCAAGTCTCAAGTGGGGAATGGGCTTAAAGCGAAGCTTGGTGGAACAAATCCTCTGACCTGGCCATCATCAAGAAGTCACACTTCACTCAAGTAAGCTCAAAGGCTATATCCCAGCAGAACTTTCCAGATCCAGAGCTGAGACCAGGGAAACACTGGAGATGGATGGCACCTTCCAAAGTTGCCTCACTTCCTCAAGGCGGACAAGCCTGTCCAGGGCCACGGTATTCCACGAAACCCTGAGGGAGAGCTTTACCAAGCTTCTTATAGCCCCAACCACACCACCCTGGAACTCCAGTATAATTACCTCGGATGGTTGCCACATCAATCCAGCATCTTCTTCTTCCCAAGTCGCCAGCCCCATCTTGCCTCATTTGATATATAATTAGAGATCATACGTGCCCAGTGTAAGGAGGTAGCAGTCTGCAGCCCCCACCCCCACCCCCCGTGATCAGTTATCCCTGGAATAACCAGGTCCAGGAGGACAGAACTCAGCAGGGGACACCCCCGCCAGGGATGACATGTGGCGAGAGGTGGCAGACCAGCTGTACAGAGTGGTCCCATCTTGCTGTCCCCTCCCAGCCCTGCCTCCCCAGGCAGTAGGGGGGAGCAATCATCTCTCCCACCGTCCTGCTTTCTCATGGGGCTCTGGAAAGAAAGGGGGAGGGAGGAAAGCTGGAGCCCTCCTGAGACACCCAGGAGTACTGGGGCAGTCCCGTGTGGAAATCCTCTGGTGGCAGGTGCCACTTAAGGCTGAAAGGAGGCGTGTCGCCCCATGTTGCCCCATGTTGTTGTACCAGCGTCCCTTCCTCAGGATGGAGCCGGCAAAGCACCGATGGGCCTTCGGGGGGAAAGTGTGTCAAGAAAAGGGTGGGAGTCGGGGCCCTGCCTTCAGACGTTTCCTTGACACCCCTATGTCACCACCAATGAATCATGCGAGCTAATGGCCTTGTGGCGTCATTACCTCTTATCCTCAAACAATATTCGAAATGAGATTGAACAAGCGGGAAGCAGCCCCATCACTCGCCCAGGCTGTGGATTCTGTGGGATGCGTGGCTGTGGCCCCTGGTGGCAGCTTTCTCTCATAAAACGTGCTTTGTAATCTAAGGAGGCGTGCTATTGTTTGAGGCAGAAGGACAACAGTCTTTTGTGTTGTGTGCTCTTGGTGCTAGGGTTTCAGGGCGAGGAGGGTGAAACCAGGTCCTGTGTACCCTCAAGGCCAGACACCCTGAGAAGTCGTGCCCGCCCATCTCCGTCGGGCCCCCTCTTGATCATAACCCAGCACAGCCCTGAATTCATTTTTCCAGAGTAAAACCCCTAGTCCTTTCGGGGTACACAAGGGTTGGCTTTTCTTACATCGTTTTTAGGAGTTTGGGGGCGACACGGGCCCTCGGGAGCAGCCTCCCGGCAAATGCTGCCGGGGACTTCAACCTGCCTGCTCTCTAGTAGAACAGTCCAGCAGGCCTGGTACAGAGTTAAGCTCTCTGGCTAATGTGAAGGAGCATCCATTTCCTCACGGGAAAAATGGAGATAACAATCAGGAAACCTACCGCAAAGGCAGAGAGCCCCTGAGAAGGCGTCAGCACCTTCACCAGCACCTGTAAATGTTTAATAACTGTTAGTCATGGTGATGGAGGTCTGTCGGTGTTCCACAGAAGGCTGCTGCTTGTGTTACTGGGCCATTTTCATTCTTTTTTTTTTTCAACGTTTATTTATTTTTGGGACAGAGAGAGACAGAGCATGAACGGGGGAGGGGCAGAGAGAGAGGGAGACACAGAATCGGAAACAGGCTCCAGGCTCCGAGCCATCAGCCCAGAGCCCGACGCGGGGGCTCGAACTCACGGACCGCGAGATCGTGACCTGGCTGAAGTCGGACGCTTAACCGACTGCGCCACCCAGGCACCCCTGGGCCATTTTCATTCTGACCAAGGTCAGTAAACGTCTGTTACATTTTAAGTAAGTCATGAGCTTTGAACTGTCTGAACCCTCTGTGGGGTGTTGATTCCGGCTTCTGGCCTCATAGGGTTTCTCGGGGTAGGGGTGGGGGCCAATGGCCTTCGTCAAGCAGTTTGCATGAAAGGGACTTCATTCAAAGCCTTGTTGGATTAACTGGGGCTTCCTTTAAATAAGGGCTTGTTCTCAGAAGCTTTCTTTCTCCAACCAGGAGAAAGAATACAATGGACAGTCCTCATCACAGCTTGTCACAAACACCTGGCACATCTTTTCAGCCCAGAGTGAAAACACACACACATTCACTTGCTAACTCCAGGAACACAGCCTCAGCCTGACATTCCAGAAGCATTTGCTGACAAACTTCCTCCCAAATACAGTTATTTCCTGGAAGAACAGCAAAACCTGTTTTTGAATTGACAACACGGCTTCGGTTGCTGCTGAAGTTAAGTGAAGTTACTATTGTTACCACCGACTGACCTAAAAAAAAAAAAATCTTAAAAGAATGACTTTTTTTTTTCTTTGCTTATCAACATGGAGACTGATTTATTGGTTAAGTCGATTTCAGGCAAAGACGGACTTAGGAATTGGGTGAACATGTTGCTTCTTTCAACCAAAAGAAAACTTCGTAAGTTGCTTAGGCAACATTTTACTTGGTTCTTCAAAAAGCAATTGTGACAAAGAGGAGAGAGAGATAAAGCACTTATGGAATATATAAAAACAGCAGCATTTGGGGTTGCACATAACAAAGAAATATCTTAAATACTTTTCAAAATATTCTAGGAGCCAATACACAAGGGCATGCTTCAGGAGAACGTAGGAATGCGAAGGGGAGGGCAGGGTGGAAACTACCCATTTCCTTTAACATCAGTGCAGAAAACAAAGCGGCATTCAACTTCACATACTGACTTCACACAGTTTGTAGATAACAGCCTGACTTACATCCAAGAAGCAAAGATGGAACCCTCACGCTGTGTATTTTCAGAAGTAATTGCATGGACACCAGGTGATGTACCCTTGTCTGGCAGATTTCCTTGGGAGGAGTCTCTGCGACTTACGAGAAGGCCAATCGGACACTTACTCCAGTGGCCTTGATGTCAGTTTTGAGGGGCAACTTGGAAGGATTCGTCTTCTTTACCCTCTGTCGACCCACCCAGCCCAAAATTTCACGAATAGTGTTTTGTGTGTAATTTGCATAACAATCTCACTCAGATGGGTCTCCATCCCACCACCTTTTCTGCAAGAAGACTGTGGAACATGTCTACATAGAAAATGAAGTCGAATTCATGGGCATTTTCAAAGGAGCCTGTCAGATGTTTCTGCGAATACTTACATGCAATCTAAAACCCTTAGTGCAGGTTAAGAAGCCACGTGGAACACCATGAAAGACCATGGAAGGGGCATAAATCAGCGTGTTGTCTCAATGACCTGTTAAGGGAGGTGGTGGACCTTGGAGAGTTGGGCTTTTCTGTCCCTCTTGAACTTGAGGGTCACTTGGACAATGGTGGGCCCAACTCCTTGGGATGACCGCAGGAAATGGGCCCTTAACTTTCCTAAAATAAAAGTCAAGAAAAGAATGCTTTGGTTGGTTTACAGCTGAGCACTGCCTCTAATGTGGTACTTAATACCACAACCAGACATTCATGCTCCTGAGTTGTCTCATGTATAGTAGAATGCTTTTCGCCTTTTTTTCAAATTGAGGAAATAAATATGGAGAGCTGGATTCCTTTATGTCACGTGAATTTTACTTTGTTCTCTAATAGGCAATGTGGGTCGGAGATCAGAAAAATGGAAAAGGCGGACGGTGATGATGCTTGCTCCCAGCCCCCTGCTCCCAACTACCTCATTCTGCTCACCCCAAGTACTTACTTTTATGAATTTCTGGGATGTCCTTCCAGTTTCTTTATGCAAATACAAGCACTATGAATATGCACACTTATTTTCTCCTCTCGTACGCGAAAGCCAACATATTGCACACACTGTTCGGTGTCTTATTTTTTTCACTAGTGTGTCGTGGAGAGCCTCATATAGACTTAAAGTTTCTTCAACCATTTTTATAGCCACAGAATATTCCATCATATGGCTTCCTCAAAATCTTTCGGCCCAGTCCCATGCTGACTGACACTTGGGTGTTTGCCGATCTTCTGCCATTACATATAGCGCTGTAAGGATTAGATCCCAAGAATGGGAGTCGGAGAGTCAACGTGTTTGGGATTTTGACAGATATTTCCAAATTGCCCTCCGTGGGAGCTATTCCAACGTGTATTGTATGTGAGCATACCTACTTCCCCACAGCCTTGTCAAGATTGTTTTTGCCAAACTGATGGATGAAAATGGTACTTAGAAGAGTTTTACTTTGAATTATTCTTTTTACAAGTAAGGCTGAGCACATTTTTATATTTTAAAGGGCCATTTGTATTTAATTTTCTATAAACTTTTCATAATCATGAAATTGTGAGTTAACATATTATCTTTTTTTATAGTCCTTGCCCACTTAGCTATCGGATTTTATGTGTTTTTGATTTCTAATCTGCAATGTGAATTACAAATATTTTTGACATTTGTCCCTCCTTTTTTTTTTTTTTATTTTGCCTTTCAGGTTTTTCTTATATACAGTAAATTTGATTAATCTTTTCTTTTAAGGTCTGTGGATTTTGAGGCTTAGTTAGAAAGGTTGCCCAATCCAAAGTCAGAAGGGAATCCACCCACATTTTCTTCTAGTTCTTTTGTGGGCTTGATTTTTAACATTTA